GCCACTTTCTCAGGCCCCACGTTGAGCTGGAAAGACACTAAGTACCAGGAGAAGAACAGCCTTGACGGGCTAGCCTTTTTTTCTGTATATTTCCCAACTCGTTTTTGTGTGTTAAGCAAACACTACGTGACAAAGTTTACCTGAAAAGCTCTGTGCTTTAGATATCGCACCATTGGATAAGTGTACTTTCCCATACCACTCTGTGACTCTAAAGACTCCATCTGAGGTATTACCCAGTAGCTATTAATCTAAATATCCTCACTAAGGCCCTTCCATAGACTCTCCTCTTCCGGCACCTTTCTGCTCCCATGTGCAAAGAATCTACATTAACCATTTCAATTATCCCAAATAAATATAATTTTTCACATTTCAATCCCATATTGTTCAGCTACCCACCTTCCTAGCTTCTTTGTTAATCTGGCACCAAATCAAGGAGTCTTCTTCATAGTTTACTATAAATATTTGTATCCAAAGATATCCTAGTACCAAGGTGGGGGAAGGAAAGGTGGAACTTAATGAAAGAGAATGAAGTACAGATGGGGACAGGGAAAGAGAGAAGAGGCCGAGAGGGTGGTGCCTGTGGCTCAAAGGAGTAGGGCACCAGAGGCGGCACTTTCAAACCCAGCCCCGACCAAAAACTGCAAAAAAAAAGAAAGAAAAAGAGGCCCAGACTCTGCCCAGAGCTCGCCCACTGACTCGCAGGCGAGAGCCCTACCTTGCTAGGGCGAATCCCAACTTGCAGGTCCTATGAAAGAAGAGTAAACACCAAGATAGGAATTCAGGCACTTCTGATTAGAAAATTTCTGTTCTGCAAAAATAGTCGTCTTTGATAACGTAAGTACATAGGTATTTGACAATGGAGGCAAGATAACCTTCCTACTCCTCAAACATTTTGTCAGAGCTCATAAAATTTAGAACGGAACGAGTTCTCTCTCTCTGTGACTTTGCACTCACTACAAGTACCAAGAGCAGCAAAATTGCCCTTCTCCCAAATGGTAGGAAGCAGAGAATTCATAAAAGTTTCCTGACGCTGTCTTGATATTTATAAATCTACAAAAAAGTGCTTGAAAAGGGAGACAGGTGATAAGCTAACTTTCATGAACTGCAAAACTCTTTTGTGCTCTTAATAAGCAGAGTTGATCACACACACGAAATACCAGTTATGAACTATTTTAAAGAAAAAGACGGCCAGGAAAGCAAGCAGGCACCATTCTGCACAAGCAGACCACACCCTTACTCTACCTGCGCCCACCACGAGGGCCTTGGGCCCGCAGGTGCGGATGCAACTCAGGAGGGAGGCTGAGCGGATGTTGGAGTTGAGGAAGGCCACCACGCAGCCCAGCTTGGCCAGGCCGAACCACACGTGAACGAAGTCCGGCTCGTTGCTCATCAGCAGAGCCACGGTGTCCCCCTTCTTTAGAGAGGAATGGTTCAGGAAGACATGGGCCACCCTGCTGCTCCTTCTGTCCACATCCTGGTAGGTGTAGGTGTCTCCTTCGTATATGATGAAAGGTTTCCGCGGATGCCTTTCAGCCTGGATCAGGAATTTATCCAGCACCGTGACCAGCTCCCCTCTCTGTTGGTATCTCTTTACTCGAAATCCATTGAGCACCACCTTGAGCAGGAAACAGAAGTCGTCCCAGAAGTACGGGAACAGGAGTTTCTGCACAAAGTGCAGGAAGACCATTCCAGTCCCCAGTCCTGTGAGCCATGGCAAGAGCATGGGGGCCATCGGGCCAGCAGGCCGCTCTGATCTCAGGTCTGCCAGCGCTGTCCCCAGAGACTGCAGGTCCAGACTTCTCAGGGCTGACACCTGGGGTAAGTCTTGCCAGCTTTTCCAAGGAGGAGGGGGAATCCTAAGAAACAGAGTCAGAGGTTTGCACCAAGGAAGGCTGGGGACACGGAGTGGCTATGGAACAGAGCCCCGGGTACCTGGGAGAAACAACCAAGGCACTTGCAGGGGCCTCGGAACTTACTAGCTCAGACTGCGCCCTCGCCTCCCACCCCGACGGCACTGCGTTCCCAGGCGCTTTCCAGGTCCTGCCCCTGGCGGGCAGTCAGTCCTCCGCGCCTCCAAGCAAATGCCACCCTCAGAAGTAGGTCCAGGGACAGAAGCGCTTCTCCCTAGGAGAAGCTGTCACTCGGACGGAGGCTGAATTTGAACTGGGAGAAGCTGGGGTGGCGAGGATTGGGAAGGACAGCGGCTTCCCTTCTCCACTGGCCAGTGACCGCTCAGGGTCTGGGGCCACGCCTCGGGCCGTGGCCTCAGGAGCCGCAGCCCCCGAGCGCCGCCACCCCGCCCCGCCCCGCCCCGCGAGCTCCCCTCCGACTCACCAGGTCCTGGCGAACTGTTCCCAGGTGACCGCCGCGCCGGCGGGAAGGCGCTGTCCTGCACCCCAGTCGCAGTTCGCCCTGCGAGCCTCCCTTCGCCTGGCTAGTGTATATCTCCTCCAAACCACGCGGGGGTGTCGCCCGCTTCCCTCCTGCCTCCAGGCTCCCGGCCAACCCCAGCACCCCCGACGCAGGCAGCTGGAACAGCCTGGGCTCTGTCCCCCGCTGCGCCCTGGGCGCTCATCCCGCCACCTGGACGCACGTGCCCGCAGCCAGCTCGTACTCCGGGCGCCGGGCCCGCGACGGGGCCACTGGAGGGGATCGGGACAGTTCCGAGGAGGGAAAGCCAGGATCTGGAAGGCTTAGGGTCTCAGGGGAACCAGGCTGCTGGAATTGGGTCGGGCGGCGTGTGTCCCTGGAGAGGCCAGTGAGGGAGAGAGAAGAGTGCTGCCCAAACGCCAGACTGAATCAACAATTACTGGGAACTACACTGGAGAGTGGAAACAATAACAAATACGCGGGGAGGGAATGCGTTTACAAACCGGACACATCCGAGAATGCTGCTTTGTGAAGGAGAAAGGAATGTTTGGGCAGACCATGAAATAGATTTTTTTTTTTTTTAACAAAAACGCATTTTTGAAAACATATTTATAGGTTGGTGCTTACATCTATATTATAACTCTATCCTTAGAGGGTATAGATGGTGTATTTTACAGAGTTTTCCAAAAATGTTACTTGATTTGAGATCCTAAGTTGATATTCATAGCCATATTCAAATATAAAGACAAGGTATAAAATGCTGACTATTCTTGTTCTTAAAAATAACAAGATTTTTTTTTTTATTTCGGTTGTTTATGGAATTATCAGGACTTGATGTAAAAAATTCTATAGAGGAAGTAAGATGTGGTGTCTCAGCTTGTACTCACCACAGTTTGGGGAGGAGGAGGCAGGAGGGTCACTGGGGGCCAAACAACGTAAGGAGATACTGTCTCTACAAAATACTCTAAAACTGCCCTGCCTGGTGATGCCCACCTTTAGTCCCAGCTACTTAGGAGGCTGGTGCAGGAGGATGGCTTGCACCCCGGGTGTGAGGTTATAGTGAGCCAAGATGGGACCACTGCACCCTAGATAGCACAGCAAGATCCTGTCTCAAAAAGAAAAAAAAAAAAATCTAAAGAGGGGTTGGAGTGGAGAGGCAACAAGTAAATAAAAAAGATAATGATCAAATTACACTAAAATTGAAAAAAATCAAGTAGCATTTAATTACATCTTTTTTCTAATAGACACCATCATCCCAGCTCTCTGCTTTATTGTGTACAGATGGGTAATTGTATATATTGAAATAACTAAGCATTGCCTCACATGGTCAGGCTTTTCTCCTGTCTTATGTTCAGCTGGGTTTTAGCTAACCTCAGCTTCTGTACTAAAAGAAAAACTAGTAATTTGAAAAGGATTACCTTGATGTCCCAGTGAAGAAACCCAAAGAAATACAGACTCTTAACACCTCTCTATGTAGACAAGGAAAATGCTTTCTAAATTTACAGAAGATCTGATCTTTTTTATTTAGAAATATCTTTTTTTTT